CATCTAACACTAATGAGTTATATGTAAAGGCAAAAGCATGCAAATATTATTTCAGTGGTAATAAATCTGGCAAAACATGAATAATAATGTTCATTATGAATGAAACAGGTATAAGACTGTTACTAATATTTATTACTAAATTAACAGGAATTTATTTGTACTAAGAAATTGTTATGCTTTATAGTGTTTATATAATGCTTGCTGATGACATTTTGCAGTAGCTAGATTTTACAATTGCCTTAACTTTCATGGCTTTTAGTTTCTGAGAATGAGTTAATCTTCTCACATTAATATGCTTTTGAAATTTTTAATTAGTAAGCATACAACACACAAGAAACACTTGCAGTTTTTGACAGTACTATATTGATAAAAGTTCATTTAACAATGGACAAATACATAAACAGTATTTAAGAACAGGTTCATTTAACAACTTGACAATGGATTCATGTTCAAATATATAAATTTAAAAACAAACCAACTTTTCCCAACAGAGACAAACCTTATATACAATCATGCGTCTGTGTGGTACAGAGCAAGAGATAGGAATAGAGACAGAGAAATCTATGCTAGTTATGCAGTAATAGTATAACCACAAAACCATCTTTGTGAGGCAAGGCAACAAATTTCTGCATAATGTTAGAACACTTGGCATACTTCAGCTCTTCCGACAAGTGAAACACAAAATAAATGCTCAAAAATTCAGAGATAAAAGGATAATCAAAGAAAGCACTCCTCTGTTCAAAGACAAAACATACACGTCATCTGAACAAGAAACTATGTTAAAAACAACACAAATTTCATTTCCAATGTTGAAAATATTATCTCCTGTTGAAACTTTAACAGTCCACTTGTCTTCATACATTTCCTGGTACTGTCCATTCACTCCTAGAACACTTAAAAGCGGGCCAATAAAGTGTGGTTTTTTAAGAGTTCGTTTCAGCACTGAATAGTGTTGGGTGTTCTGCTGCTCAGACACTCTTCTGAGAATCTGCTGGAGTGGACAGCTTGCTTTTCTAACAAATTTTTTAAGTTTGTGCAGGTAGTTCTCATAAGGGAAGGATGATATTTTATCTAGACAACCATGCAATATGACATCTTGTGGGAGATGTACTAAGGCATGCACATTGTAAACAATTTCATGCTGGCCATAAATGTCTCCAAAATGACTGACAAAACTACAAAGCAATGTTTGTGTGTATGATGCATGAGTTAATGACAAACTTGGACTGATTAGTATGGAGATGCTGGCAAATAGAAGCATGAAGTCATTGTACATGTTGCTGTAAAGAAAAGACATCAGAACAACAGAACCAATGTAAAGGAGAAATTCCCTGAATTCTCTTGCCTTCCAACGGTCAACTTCCCTGAGCGACCTTGCTCGTCTAGCAAATTTCACAGGTATATATGGACGCATTTCCACAAGACGATCAGAAATTCTATCGACAATTTTAGAAGGCAATCTGAAAATTAGAGGTTCCCTCATCCACATTAACAACAACTTCCAGACAACCCCCACACAAACAAGATGCATATATTCCAAAGGGAACTGGGATATCATGCTAACTGCACATTCTTCAAAAGGATGTGGACCCACATGATGGTGTTCCTCATCATGCCTCTCTTTAAACGACTCATCTGTTCTAAGTCTAAAAGTGTTCAAGGGGTATGTCATCCTTCCATCTACACGATGTCCTGGCTGCTCACATTTGTCACACCCATGATAGTCATTATGTGCCTTTATGTTCTTAATGAATGCCCTGGCAGGTGTGTCACAAATCACAGTGTCTAATTTGAGATAGAATCTTTTTCCTTCACTGTCAAAACCTCTCTCTAGTTCTTCCAGTTCTTTAACAAAATCTTTCATGAACTCAACAGGGGAGTCAGGTTTTTTTGTGCCACAAAACAGCCCAAGGACAACTGGTTCTTTCATGGGATGACTGACCAAGAGTCCAAGAATTGGCCATAGTTGCATGGTAGAACTTTTAAATAATGGTAGGCCATCTATGTTTATTTGAAGCTTTAATATACTACACAAATTAGCAACTCCATGTGAAATCCTAGGTAATGTGTTTTGTAAAGAATTTAGAATGCCAAAGTAATAGTACAATCCACCACATTTTTCTTCAATTTGATACTGAGTTTTTGTCTTTAAAAGAGTGCGAGCATCTTTTGGCAAATCTGGGTGATACACTCTTAACAGGCTTAGGAGAGCTGTAAGGGCTACAAGGGATACTCCAAAATTTAATGCCCAACTGCTAATTTGATTACAAAGAGTTGCCTCTTCATCTACTTTTTCATTTTCAGTGTCAGAAGTTAAACTCTGGTCCCAAAATGTAGAGCCAATAAACTATAAATACCCCATTCCCACGTTGCTGTTTACGGACAAAGAGTGTAAATGTGGAGAATAATAATACAAAAGAGGTCAATATGAGCAAAGTTCTAAAGTTTTTACTTATTTCATTGATCTAAATTATTTTGACTCAGGGAGATTAAATAATGCATGTCTTTGTAACAGCGCTGTTTATAAACGCCACACTAAAAAAACGCAAGTAAAAATACAGACACTTTACCGTGTTCGAGTGGCTATACTGACCAGGTAGCTTTTTGGCAAATAAATTACTCTAAAACTGGAAATTTTGCCATAAATGTGTTGAATTGCTGCAGATGAAAAGTACGTGGCATACCCTGAGAACAGCGACCTGACATATGCTGGCCTACATAACGGTTATGGGTCTTGCCGCTTCCAGTGAACAGTCTGACCAGACATTCTATTCTTATAGGGACTATATTTTTAAAAGCACATTGGAACATTATTAAATGCTAAGTGAGGTTATTTTCTTCAGAAAAAATAACCATGAATAGTTTATTCTATTACTATTTTTGTTTGTTAACCACACTTCATTGTGGTTTATCCCTTACTCATTAAAATTTTTCTTTGAGGTTTTAATGACGAAAAGGTCCACCGTGTTTTGAGTGAAACAGAAAGAGGCTAGCATACGACATAACCGTTATCTCTAAAATTATTCAATCATTGATCGTTCATAAACTCTCGCCAAAAATGCAACAAAAACATGGAAGAAAGAAAATTACCAACCTTTATCAGTTGTTCCACGTCTCTTCTTCCCTTTGTTCTTAGGTTTTCTTATTTGTCGGTTTCTCTTCTCTTCAGTCAGTGCCTGTGGAAAATTCTTGGACTGATCTCGCGACTGATTTGAATAAAGGTGCGCAAAACGTAGCNTACTTTTTTGCCGATTTAACCTAATTAAAAAAACTTTAATACTTCCGACAATGGACGTTTTGAAAAGAAGACAGATTACGGATTTAGCCAGCGTTTTTTTCATGATTCTACATTAAGATTTCAGCGAGATATAAACTGAAATATACACGAAAAGTATGCGATGTCGCCGACGATATACTCGACCCCAGAGAGTTAAGATGCCTGCCGCTAACAGCCCCTGTAAATGACGACGCAAATCTTCCAAATCAGCGGGTGCCAAACGGCGGGACCTCTCCCTGAACGGCTTATGTGCAAGTCTAATCCGGTGTTCCACCCCCTTTGCCAGACCAACATCCCACCCTTTTAGCGAAAACACATTGAATTGTTTGGCTAACTTTGTTGAGAGTCTTTTCTTCCACTCCTCAGTAATGGGTGAATCCCCAAAGTCAAAAAGAGATGGATCAGTCTTTGCATGTTTTTTGCGGTCATCGCATTGGACAACAGTCGCAGTATCTACTACGCTCAGATGGGCTATAATGGTGCCGGCCGGAATGGACACTTCCTTACATGACTCATTCCGCACCCTGACCAGAAAGTTGCCTTTGTCGAGTGCAGATGAAAACAATACTGTGGGCTGGACAAGCACACCAGAGGGAAATGCAAGGGTTTGGGCACGCTCTGTCATGAGGATGCTCTTATGTAAAGGCTGGGTTTCCTCCACCCTACAGACTGCAATACGCTCACCAGCTGGAGGAACAGTCAATGGGCCAGGGCCCACCCACTTTACATCAGCCACTTTGTCCTTACTGTTTAGTGGATCACCCACTGTCTGTGTCGATGGCTTAGAGTTAGACATAACCGAGCACACTGTCAATGGGTATAGGGGGTAAGTGTTTAAACTCACTCCGAGGCCTAAAGGTGAAAGGACGCACCCTATGCACATTAGTGCCCAACAATACAGGAATGTTATCTGAGCAACGTGGATCGAGGCAAACCAGAGCAAGGACAGCGACAGGGCCCTT